TAGATCCTAGGGTGGCCTGCCAACCATATCTTGCGAGCGACCAGCCCTGTGACTGCCATGCTCAAGCTTTGGCTGAGGCTTCCCAGATTTACCCAAGAGCCATCTCTGACCCTGAGCACGCACAGCTGGTGGGCGTCACCTACTCCTCCTCCTTACTCTGAGGGTCTGGGCAGTGTTCATAGTTGCCACACACCCTCGAAGAGTAGGATTCTGTCCACAGAATGACAAGAGTGATCAGCATGAGTGGGAGCAGTTGTTTTTTTTAAGTGGAAGTAACATGACTCAGACTTGTGGGCTGTTGCAGTTACGCAGTATGCTTTGCATTCTGCCAGAAACTGTAAGGAGATTGATATATATCGAGGAAAGAATGTCATTGTCCATAGGAATTCGTTACCTAGATACCCAGAAAGAAAACTTCACATATGTACAACAATGATGAAGAATAAGAGTGCAGAGAAGATCAAGTAAGTGCCCAAGAGGGTCAGAGGAGGATGTGGCTTCTCAGGTCTAATTTAATAGGAATTTGAGATAAAAAGAAAGTTAACAGACACTGATTAAGTGTTCCCCATGCAAGGGTCCTGGCAAAGGAGGTGATAGTGTATCAGGACTTTTGTGACAGCCAGGTGCAGTAGGGACTTTGCAGGGGTAGGGTAGACAGCCACCTTGATGGACTGTACAAGATCATCATGAAGACAGGAGAGAGGATAAGAGAGAAAGAGGGTGGCCCAAGAGGGAAAATGTTGGGTGGGTACATCAAACTTGACTCCAGACTCAGGTCCTGGGATCAGGTTGCTGAAGAGCATAGTGTGCAGGAGCAACACTGGAGGTGCCAGTGATGGCCTGCATATTGAAGCGAAGGAGTGAATCCTGGTTAGAAACAAGAAGCTGTGGGGGTGTCCTGATGTCTGGGGGAAAGTAGAAACAAGTCCTTCACATGACAGGCTGCTGAGGAGACTGGGGGGACCAGGTACCCTTGCCATGGAGGTATTGCTGTCTGATTGCTGTGTCTGCTTTTGGCACACAACCCATTTTATTTTAGTCTCCAAGTTGCACATACGGTTAGCTTTCATGACTCAGAGCAGAGAGGCAGGATGCAGAAGTCACCCTTCCACAGCACAGCTGGGACTAGAATTTGGCTTTTCTCATCTTTCAATCCAATGATCTGTTCCCAAACCGCAGCTTCTCACACTTTTCACATTCAGAGTCATCCTTGATTAACACTGGATTTAAACTTTTAAAATGCCACCTGGATTACTAATGAAATTCTCTGGGGAGCAGAGAAGCTTTTGGAGTGAAATACATCTTAAATGTGATAAGCCAGCTGCCTCGATCCTTCTGGGTATGAGTCTTCCAAATCAGATCCTATAGATAGGAAAGCCAAAACCATGTCTGAAATGACTTAATTCTGAATGACAGGAAAAGCAAGGGAGGTGAACTTATTTCTACCTCCATCATCCCAAGAAGGACCTGGCTGTGAAAAATACAAGAATCCACACAAATGGAGACCTCACATAGGTAGACCCAGAGCTTCCCTGGCGCTTTCAATGAATGGTGTAACCTGGTGATTTGAATTTTTCTTGTGTGTGCATGCTGCTCAGAGGAGAGTGAGTTGGCTCCCATCTTAAACTTCTTGGTGGAAGAGCTATGTGCACACTGCAGGTGCTCAGCCTGTCATATGCTTTGGGAAGGCTGTTTTGGTCCTGCTAGCATTGTCCCCAGAACTCTATATATAGAGAAAAGGCTGACATCTAGCTGGGAACGGTTTGCTTTGATGCCATGTAGGCTGATGTATATGTAGTAGAGAATTTGGCCATGCCCAAAGAAAAAGTCTGGCCTTTGACCCAAGCTTCTACAAGGCCACCTATGTCAGATCAGATAGGAGTATTTTTGTGTGGGCCAGGGCCAGCCATACCCAGTAATCCTTGGGTGGGTTCTCCATAGCAGGAAGACCACCCTGTGATCTAGAGGGCTTTGAGTCCTATAGCAATCAACTGGTGGCTGAGAGCAGTCCACTAGTCAGCCATACCTATGTGGTAGAGCTTGGGTGACCTTGCTGGTTGGCAGTGTTGCATTATGCAGTGTGCTTAGCACATCTGCCAAAAACTGAAAGGAGATTAATGTATATCAAGGAAAGAAAGTTACTGTCCGTAGGAATTTATTGTTATATCCATCCTGGGAGGGTAGCATGCCCAGACTATAGAAAAAGGACACAGAAAGTCCTCCAAAGGAAGCTTTCCAGAACTGTGTCTTATAGTCTGACTACTGACCTGTATTTCTCTGCAGTAAATGGTAACCAACATGGTAAGCATGTTCAGGGTGTCCAAGTGAAGTACCAGTACTAAGGGAGTTGTGAGTCCTTCACCTGTAGATGGCATCAGTAGCTGGAGCTGTCTGGAGAAACTTCAGGTAAATTGACAGAGAGAACCTATGACAAGTCCTTACTACCTGCACACTGTGGCACTTGTATGTTTGTTAATCCTAGGCACAAGGGATCAACCTGGTCACCAGGTATCCTTCCTCTGTGCCACTGTGATGAAGAGGGCAGCAGATGTCCAGCCAGGCCCTGGATCTGAGAAAAGTGGCAAGATGTGGTGCATATGCTGGGGCCATAGAGAGGAGCTATACTAAAGAATTGTAGACAGTGATGTGGATCCATGTACAGCCAGCCCCACACAGTTAGACCCAGGGTCTTGTCTGTGGTCCGTGCTGCAGACATGGAACCATCTGTTGTCAGCTGGATCTGACCCCTCCACCCAGGGTACTTGAAGAAACTATCCATGTGTGGTTGTAGAGAGGGAGAAAGAAAAAGACAAAGGCTGAGCTTCTAAGGAGTGACCTGTGTTAGTGACAGTCTTGTCAACTCTTTTATAGAGAGCATTTTCAGCATGTGTATTTTTCATCTGTAGACTCAAGACGAGTGAATGTCTCACTGCTCCATGTCTACACTGAGATAAGCATAACACCCATTTCTGTCCCTTCTCAGGGCCATGTGCTTTCTACAGTGGCCCAATATGCCCTGGTACTGAGCTGCCTGGAAGACCGCTGGTAAAGTGGCTTCCTGGGCTGTTTTGTTTTTCTCAAGTGAAAAATCTTTATTGTAAACATTCCCATGATGGTGCGCCTTTCTCCTGAGCTGGTATCCCACTTACTAAGGAGGCTGAGGCAGGAGGTTCACAAGTTTGAGTCAGCCTAGGCAACTTAGTGAGACCTGTCTAAAAATTTTTTAAAAGGGCTGAAAACATAGCTCAGAGCAAAAGCTCTGGGTTCATTCTCTTGTCAACAAACATAACAAACTTTCTATACCAGCTATGATAATAATCCTTAAATTTTAAAAGTGTAGCCTTTAACAGTGTCCAGGTAATGTTTTCTTTTGCTTCATACACAGAGCTGGCAGCTGTCCAGCTGTGAGTGGAGATGCTGTGTTTCACTAGCTTACTTCTTGGGTTGTTAGTGGGGAAAGCACATGTGTTACTTGCTATAACCAACCTTGAGGTCCTAACGAAGCATCTCCCTGGAAGATGTCTCTGCCTTTGCTTAGCCTGTAGACAAACTCTTTTGTGGTTTGCTAACATAGGCAGCCCTGGCCCTGTGCTCACTGAAGCAAGAGTTCACCTCACAGCCCTGGTCTTTCTTCCCTGGTGGGTCCTGATGATACCCCCCTGCCACACAGAGTTGCTGTGCAGTCCTTCTGCAACCTGCCCTGGGGCTGTGTGTGCATGCCTTCTTGTTTAGAACCAGCATCTCCCTGTAGAAGTAAAAATTCTTTTTTTAATTTAGAAAGCTTTTTTTAGACTTACAATTTAACTACTTTAGAGAATTACCCTGATTTTTTGATCTCATGTTTCTTATCCCATCACTATACCTCCTTGAAGAAATAGCAAGTATTTTTGTTCCTAAATGAAAAGACAGGGAGAGAGCACAGGTGTGGCAGAATCTTGTGGACATCACCCTGGCCCTGCGCTGTGTCCCAAGGTGCAGCTTCTGAACATTGCTTAGACAATAGCAATTATTTGAGCCACAGACAGTGCTTCAAATTGTTGGCTACAGTGGAAATTATTATCTATTCAATCTTAATAAATAGCAGGGATCCTACTCTAGACTGTAAACCAAATTGCTATGAACATTTTCCTTCTAGGAGAAAAAGAATCTCAGTCAGACATAATTAAGCTTGCTACCTGGTGGATAAAATTAAGCTTGCTGTGAAGCAGGAAGAAATATGCCCACACCTCAGGGGTGCATGCTATTGTCACTGCACACACATCTTTCTGCTCTAGCACCATGGCCACTCACCCTAGACCAGTGCTCCATACAGCCATCCTTCATTACTCTTTTCTAAGCTAGCAGCATGCTTGTCGTCCCTTCTGTCACCCTCTACATGTCCTGTCTGCTGTATTTGTCCTCCCCATGTACACATGTTTATTGTCTGTCAGGCCATAGGCTCTGAAATTTGAGCCTTGGTGAGTTGTCCCTATGCAAAGTCTCTTTGCCAATACTCTGATTATTTGTTGAATGCATAAATGAGCAGACTTTGTAAGGAGCCCTTTTTTGGCTCTCTAAGTTTGAGAGCACATATCTACAGTGTAGAAGCCACAGGGAGGAATCATAACAGAAAGCTGTGGAGGATAGTGTGGACTGCCGTATAGCCAGGGCCATACAGCTTCTCTGGAGACTAGTCCATGACGCATACTACAGACATGGGTTAGACTCCTCCAACCAGGATGCTTGAAGAAACTGTCCATGTGTGGTTGTGGAGGGGAAAAAAAGAGGGACATGGAAACTGAGCTTCTGAGGAATGACCCATGGAAATTTGTATTCTCCTTGAGAACAAACTGTAGGAACTTTAAAAATCATATGGGAGGCAAGGAGGTCTTCCTGGCTCCACACTCAGTGTCCCGTACCACTGGTCTGAGGCTTCATTTCCCCTTCCATTTTTGTCTCCTACCTCCACTAGCTGTTATAATAGCCAGATGGCACTAATGGAAAAAAATCATGTTTTCTAGGATTCCTGGCCGGCTGAATGACCGGAGGACTCCTCTGGGTGAGCTGAACTGGATCTTCACAGCAATCACAGATACCATCGCATGGAACGTGCTTCCCCGGGGTGAGGTTACAGGCTGGCTGGTCACTTCCCCAGGGAGACTGCTGACCCTTGGGTAGAGTAGTTGAAGGGATCATTGTGTTCTCCATTGAGAAAAACTGATGGGAGGAAGAGGAAGGGATGCAAAGGACACAGCCAGATCCTAAGAAGGTTTCTGTGAGAAGGAAAAAATGCCCATGTGTTGGGCACAGGGAGCAGTGATACACAGCAAGCTCAGCGTTAGCCCCTGTGCTGAGCACCAGCCATACTTTCCTGGCTGTGCTCGGGGCATTGGCTTTCTTCATCAGTTTTGGTACTGTCCTTGCTCCCTGAAGCCAGAGTTGCTATTCTTTCTAAGACTTACTTACATTTTTTGTTTATTGATTGCTCATTTGTATATAAGCTTTCTTGTGGCTGTGTGCCTATGTGTGTATGTACTTGTATGTTTACATGTTGTGTGTGTTTATGTTTGTAGTGTAAATGTGTGTTAATCCCAGCCTGTTGATAGTAATTTGGGGTAGATATAAATTTGTATATTTGCTCTTAAGTGCTCAGCACCAGTCTATGAAGACTTTTTATCTTTTATCTGCCCTCAGATCTTTTCCAAAAGCTCTTCAGACAAGACCTGCTGGTGGCGAGTCTATTTCGAAATTTTTTACTGGCAGAAAGGATCATGAGATCATACAACTGCACCCCTGTCAGCAGCCCCCGACTCCCACCAACTTACATGCATGCAATGTGGTAAGTGTCCTGGCTGATGGCACTGCCAATAATAGGTTTGATGGAGTGCACACTGTCTTAATTACCTCCCCCATTGCTGAGACAGAATATCTAACACCCAAAGGTAAAAGGGGAAAGGTTTAGTTAGCTCACAGTTTATGGAGATTTCAGTCCATAATCAGCTGGCCCTAAGGTAAGATGCCTTGACAAATAGGCATCAAAGAAAAGAAACAGCAGGCAAAAGACAGCAAAGCAACAGGGACAAGACAAGCCTCTTTTTGTCCTTGTATTGTATGCAAGCTACTGGAATTAGAACAATGCCAAATCAGTCAGTGGACTGATTTAGTAATCACCAACCTTAACGTTAGCACTCTTAATTCTAGCATTACACCATGAATGAGTTATATACAATAGATTTATCCCCTCTGAAAAAGCCCTACCTAAGGCCACATGAGACGTTAGGGGGACATCCAGACACAAACCATAACATTATTCTCTTGGCCCTTATAATGACTTATGCACATCCTTTCATGCCAAAGGCAAGAGTTGCCAAAGTCCTAACAGTTTTAGCATTACTGAAAAGCCCATGTCCAAAATCTCCACTGAGATGTAAGGCAAACTCTGTACTGTGAACTTCCATACAAATGAAAATTAAACACTTCCAACATTCATTGGCACAAGATGAACATTACCATTCCAAAAGGTACACATAGGGGAATACAAAAAAATGGGACCAAAGCAAGTTAAAAATTCAGTAGGACAAACATTAAGTCCTGTAGTTCCATGTCCAGCATCCAAGGCAATCTGTTGCAAGATGTTTACTCCAAAAGGCTTGAGTAGCTTCAATCTTGTGGGATTTCCAATGATGTTGCTACCATGACTTCCCTCTTGGGCCAGCTCTGCTTTTTTCTTGCAGTTTTCCTCAGACAATCTGTGTTCCTGGCTTCTCCAAAATTCTGGGTTCTCCACTACATCTTCAGCTTCATGTCCACAGCTTTGCACACTGCCTGGCCTCTCAGGCCCTCTTCTAAAATCTGGGTTGAAGCTTTTCAGGCCCCACACCTCTTGCATTCTGCATGCACCTAAAACCAGTAGCAAGTTGATGATGCCAAATTCTGCTGCCTGCTTCTCTCTTGGCTGTAGGAGTTGAATGCCTGTGAATCAGATCTTGAGGAACAACTTCCCTACGGCACCGTGATTCAGGAACATGGTGCTCTGGGGCTCTCTTCTCAAAGCAGTCTTTTACCTTTGCAACTTGGGCCTCAGAGCCTAGAGACTTGTTGGTTCTTGTGAGGTCTTCAGGCCATCTTTTCTGTTGGCCTCAACAGAAGTACTTAGCATTTTCTTGCTAGTATTTTCAGTGACCAATTTCTCCTCTATTCCATTATTTTAGGCCACAGTTTTACTGGGGCTTCCTTTCGGGCTAAACTCACAGCATTTTGAACCATTCTGCTAAGCTCTTTGCCCTTGATTCGCAGCATAAATCTGACTGAAAGCCACTAATAGTAGTCATGCCACCCTTCAGCATTAAACTGCCTTAAATTTTCTTAAAATGTCTTCAAGATTAATTAATCTTCTGACTTTAAGCAGTCTCAGACAGTCTCTGGGCATAACCAAAATGCACATAAACTTTCTGCCAAGGTATAATACATATTGCCCGGAGTCCAACATCCAGTGTTGTCCTTCTTCCGAGTAGAAACTGCTTGAGCCTGGTCTTTACCAGGAAAATTTCTAACATCCTGGTCTTCTGAGGTGGGACTAGAATCTCCTGTCAAGTACAGCCTCAAGCATACCAGCTCTACTTTTTTTCAGCCAGCATCTCCAAACCTTTCCTAACTCTTCCCCTTCCCATAGCCAGCTCCAAAGGCTGCTAAACAACACAGTCAGGTACAGTGACAGCAACAACTCCACTTCTCTGGTACCAAATTCTGTGTTACTTTTCTCTCATTGCTGAGACAGAATAATCTGCCACCGAGGGTTAAAGGGGGAGAGGCTTATTTAGCTCACAGTTTGTAGAGGTTTCAGTCTGTAATCTACTGTCTCCAAGGCAAGGTAGGAGGCAGGCATTGCAGAGGAGGAACAGTTCAGAGGAGGCAGAAGGTAGCAGAGCAACAAGGAACAAGACAAAGCCTTTTTTTGTCCTTGTATCCAAGGTATTGTGATTATGGCAGTGCCAAACCAATCAGTGGACTGATTTAGCAATCACCCACCCATAATCTTAGCATTACTCCATGAATCAGTCAAACACTCTAGATTCAGCCACTTCTGAAGAATCCCACCTATGGCCACATAAGGTTTTGGTGGGACATCTAGACACAAGCCATAACACACACCCTGCTACAGTTCTGTGCCTACAGTAGGGAGGCCTGTTCCCACACTGAAACAAAGGTGAATAGAGTAGGAAGATCTTCAGAAAGGGCCACCAGGAACATTTCTGCATCATCCAGTTAGTGGCCTCAGGCCCCACAGTTCCCAGTTCAGAGTATAGCAGTAAGCACAGAACTGCTAGCCATGTAGAGACATGTGTTCAGAGAAAGAAATTGCTGCCTAGGTCTATGAAGTACATCTGAGCTTGCTCCAAGAGTTAAAATGACCAGACTCATGACCAGTTAATTTGTGTCTTATCTCTCACATACACAGTTTAACCTTTCATTGCTGTTGATTATAATTTTTTCTCACTGTTGGATACCTACGTTTTTATATTAGTAATATGCATAACAATAATAATGTAATTTTGCTTTAACGTAGATGTAGCTAAAGACATAGTTTCTTCCTGTTTCATTGTTCTATGTGTTAGTCTTCTGTTACTATAGCAAAATACCTGAGATAATCCAGTTGTAATGAGGAAAGCTTTATTTTGGCTCATGCTTTCAGAGATATTAGTCCATGGTCTTTGGCCCCTTGCCTTTGAGGCTGTAGAGAATTCATTCATCATGATAGGATTGCATGGTAGAAAAAGCTGCTCATTTTATGGCTAGAAAGTAAGAAAGGAGGAAGAGATGCCACAGTCTTAATGTCTTCTTCAGGCCCACTATTCCCTTTGGGAACACTCCACATCAAAACAACAACACTCTCATAACACAGGTAGGGTTTAGGTGAACTCAAAAGTGGGATAACAAAGGAAGTCTAAGTTCAGTAAATCAGTAGGGGAAACTCTAATACAAAAATTGAAAGAGCACTTCACCTATATTTAACCTTAAAGTCCATAAGTGATAACTTTCTCAAGTACAGGATACTTAAAGGTGTAAGAAATTTATCATCTCACTGCCCCTCATGCACTCAAAAACAATTAGAAACTAAATTATTTACATGAGATAAACCAAAAAAGTGTGGTGTGCCCAGCATGTGGAATGTCAACAGCACATGATCTGTATACCTTATAAGGGCTTCTAAGTTAAAACAGACCACTGGGGGGCAGAAGCAAAGAAGTTGAAGTAGAACTCTGTAGAAGATGCACTGACAACATCTCAAACAATATGCAGATAGAACACAGCATGATAGATTGGCTTTCCAAGACATCATAAGTGACAGCTGACAGAAGTCTCACTGTAATATACAGAACAAATGATTAGACATTTGTGGAATGCTTAGAGGAAACATTTTTGGGAGAAAACATCTTCAAAACAGCCTTTCTCAACTGGCATAATGGCACACACCTGTGATCCCAGCACTCTGGGAGGCTCAAGCAGGAGAATCACAGAATTTAGTCCTTCTGGGCAACTTAGTGAGACCTTGTCTAGAAGAAACAGAAAGAAAGCTTTAGTCCCTTAATAAAAGTAGTACCTGGGACTGGGGAGATAGCTCAGTAGAATAAGCACTTGCCTGACAAGCACAAGGGCCCAAGTTTAATCCCCGGTTCCACAAAAAATAAATAAATAAAAGTAAAACCTTACATCCTATTTCTTCTAATACAGGTTTTCAAATTCTTTTATTATAAAAAGGAAAAGTAACAAAATAAAAGGGCTGAAGGGTCAATGGTACATTTAGTCATCATAGATTGACAACCTGCTCAGCACTAGGAGCACAATGCCTGCCTATCAGAGTTCCCTCACGGGGAGTGAGAATCCACGAGCTCTCCTACTCATCTTGCTTCACCTGACTACCTCAGAAATAAACCCCTGGAAACGTGTTCCCTTTTAGCATATCTTTTCCATGGATATGAAAATGCCTCCCATATGGCATACTTGGCTGTAATGAGTTTTAAAACTCATTTTTTATAAAATAAACAACAAGCATGATGTTACATGTGTGTAATCCCACCTCCTTGGGAGACTAAAGCAGGAAGGTTGCAGGTTTAAAACCACCCTGGCCCGGACAATTTAGGGAAACTTGTCTCAAAATAAAAAGGTCAGGGACTATCAGTCAGCAATAGAGTTTTTGTTTAGCATGCACAAAGGCCAGACCTAAGCAGAAAACAAGGAACAAGGACTGATGGGACCAGGAAGGGGAACACTTGGTATGGCCAATGTAGGTCTATACCTAGCATTCCAGAGCTTTGTTCGATTGGGGAAGGAGGTGGGTCTGAACTACTTCTGAACTCTGGAGTTGGTCCATGCACTGTGTCTGTACAAGCCAGGCTGAGAGACACATGATCCTTCCTTGTCCTGCTGCTAGCACCTCTCAGCACTGGCCTATAGCCTGGGAGCAAGGTCCTTACCCTGTGAACTTCCCAAAGCTGGTTCTCATTGGTGCTCACTGTGCTAGACACATGAGGTACTGTCAGACCACAGAGGCCCAGAGAATCCTGGGGAAGCCTGTCCTGAGTCCCCAGTCCTGTAGAAGGAGTGGCTTGTCATGTCATAGTTGCATAATCACCTCTTTCCTTCTCCTGACTCTGACCTCCCAAGCATCACAGGGCTCTTCCAGGGGAATATATGCGTTGAAGACTTGAGGGCTATCTGGTGACTGAACCTTTGTGCTCCACCATTCTGCAGAGCACTGCTGTGGCTTCATGTCCTCCTTCCTTTTGAGGCTAATTCTGTATTTGGCAGGTTCAGTTGGTGAGGGGACCCAGAACCCGA